GGCTTAGTGTACGTACATGGTACTTAGATTTTCGAGTACCACCCCTATTTCTGCGTGAGTTCGTCGTACCAAATGGGCGAATCTCATAGTTCAAGGCTCGTCCTTGCGACTTAGAATCATATAGCATGAAGTCATCATCAAGTAAAATCATCATGACTATGTGTGACATCAATTACGCATCATGTTATCATCATCAAGTACATCAATTACATAGATGTCATGTAATCATCATCAAGAACAAGTATATATGGATTATATGAGTATCATGTAATCATCCTCACAAGCAAATTGATTAAATGTGCCATCATGTAATTATCATCAAAAATTTATCATCATGAATCATCAAATTGACCATATGATATAATGTGCCATATCATGAATATTATTATACATTTGTGGACGTATATATATGTATATGTATACGTCTGTGAATCATTCTACAAATTCTAGCGTGGTACCACTCAGCGGTTTCTCTGAGCGTGTAGTTTGTATTTTTTTTCGTTGACTACACGTAGGTAACAAGAAGACAATGATGGAACCATTCCCGGAGGGCATTGAGTCAGAGGAGATGCAAGGATAGCAGGCAAATGTTTGATCAACATATTTTAAAATATGTCATGATTTGGTTATTATTGTACTTCCGCATTACTCTGAAAATATTTTTAAATGGGTCGCGATCCAGAGTCTGTAAATTTAATATTTATAAGTAATTGTCATTTTCAAATGTCAAGCGAAATTTTTATTTAACTCTTGTTTCACCATAATTCGTATAATTCCGGGTTATACGGATTGGGGTGTTACATTGTACGCAGAGTTTGCCCGTACTCGAAAGTAGAGATGATATTTCCATGACATGCTCCACTCATGCTGTATAGATAAAACAAACACAGGGTGTACACAAAGAAGAAGCATAGAAAAGGCACAGAGGGCCGAGAGGTAAATAATAAACTAGCTAACGAATGAAAAGTAATGAAATAAAAAATATCAAGCATACAATGCATAAAAGTACACAACAACAAGTACAATAAACTACCCCTAGCCCAAGACGTGTATCCAACTACTCTAATCCTAACTCTTCAAACACTTTATATCTAAGGTTATTTACGCAATGAGGTCAAGCAGTCATAAGTAGTATCTAATCAATTCATTCCAATTCTTCCTAGGTCTATCCCTACTCCTCAACACCAACGTGAGCATCTCACATCTTCGCACTGGAGCATCAACATTTCGCCGCCTCACATGCCCAAACCACCTCAATATCGCATCTCTCAACTTATCTTCCAAAGGTGTCATGCCTACCAGACCTTGGATAATCTCGTCCAGAATCCTATTCTGCCTCATGTGCCCACAAATCCTTCATAACATCCTCACGTGCCCACAAATCAATGAATATGAATCTTTTAACTACCTAGCACTTTACCCATACAACATGGCTGGTGTGACAACGAGTTGATAAAACTTACCTTTCATTTTAGCTAACATTTTCTTGGCACGCAAAACTCTTGAGACCAACCTCCAATGTTAAGAAAAGCTTACCAAATGTGAACAAAATGTTCACTATATGGACAATCATTACATGTTAAGAAAAGCTTACTAAGTAAAAATAATAATGCTAAAAATCCACCACAGGTGCCCCCAAAGATGATGATCACAGATGATTTTATACATACACAGATGATAATCATCTATGTCCACAGATGATTATGTATGTGTATGTACAAATCAACTATGATTGTCATCCCAAGGGAAATTGTGGTACGTTCCTAGCATGGTCCAAAAAAAGGATTATTCATTACAGAAATTGTACTGCTACTATTATAATGCTCGTATTATATTTTTCATATTTTACTATTCATGTATACTATTGGTATTTGCGTTTATAGAAATTATTCAGATACTATCCCTAAATACGGTTACTATTTAGAATTATGATTATTATTCAAAATATACAGTTACTATTCACGTATACAATCACTATTCATATAAACAATTATTATTCACGTATATGATTATTATTCTCATATACGTCGACCTTATATAATTAAAATTAATCATTAACCAAGAATTATACCCCATTATACATTAATAGCATTGTTCAAACCTACATGTATGTGACCCTGTTAGGAACATGTCGTGCTCGGAATGGTTGTCTAAGATGAAATAGCACTTAGTGGATGCAAAGGGGGACACATTAGGGAGCCAAACTTGTCTCACCATTCCTACTAAGTCAATCGGTGAAAAGGTTTGTTTGGCTGAGCCTAAGAGCACCTAAATGCCAGACTTCTGCCCGATCCCGAACACTATGAATGGATAAGTTTATCTCAGGAAAGCCTGTTGTATTTTATACAATTTCATCGCTTTCAAAACTAGATAAAGAAATACATTTTCAGATACAAAACTAGTTTACATCAAAGATTCAAAATTAGATAAAGAAGTACATTTTGAAAATATAGACACCAGTTTACAACAATGAAAGGCTTTCATAAGTAGCCTTTTCTTAGTTTCAGAGCCAAGACGATCTCTTTGAAGCTTCCATCGGAGTAGTTAGTGTACATATGCTTAGACCATGATCACTACATATTTGTGTACAGGTAGCTCTTGTGCATGAGGAAGGGAGCTTTAAACCATTAGATGGGGAGTTGGAATAAACCAGTATAAAGGGATAATTAAGGCTTACAAAAAAGATAAAAGACAGATCCAAGTTTAAGAATTTCTCAAAATTTCAAAACTTGATTTCAAATTTAGTTTAATACATTTAATATACCAGATTGATTTAAGAGTTTGAACCCAAGTTTTGATGAAATGCCAATATTCTGATAAACAGAAAAGCTAGTACATTTTGAACTATTGATATACATTTGTGATAAAGAAAGTTTATGATATGATGACCTAGATAATATGTATCTAAGAAAAACATTTTCGAAAAGGAAAAGCTTATATGTTTTATTGTATTGTGACACTTATCAAATTTGCTAAGCGTACATTTTGGTAGTTTAACTGTGCGTAGGTATGATTACGATGTAAACCGTGATGCATATATCTCGTATATATTGCATCTATTATTTCAAACCCTGATTAATATAAAATATTTTGCTTCCGCAATTATTTTTACTGGTTATCAAAGGGACAACACTATCCTAAAAGGGTTGCTTCTGTAATTGTTTTAACTGATTATTTCATCCCTGCAAAAGATTATTTCCTTGCAAATGCCATTTGTCGACCATTAGGATGCTTAATCAACTTTTGTGGTTGCCTTTTATCCTACTTGCCTTCTAGTCACCACAACGAATGGTAACAAAATCGGTCCAGATCGATCGATTTGATTGGACGAATTTCAACCTGGGCACGAGTTCGGTCGAATTCAATGATCAAACTTGTTTCAGGAAAAAAATTGTCCAAACTTGGTAAATAGGGTGATCGAGACTGAAAAGAATTTTTCAACCTACATAAATGGAAAGAGTTATTGCTTTCGCTGAGATTCAAACTCGTGACTTGGCATTTGAGAATGTTACGTTGATACCGATAGACCATAAAGTCTTTTGCTACCACAATGTTTTTTGAAGGATCTACAATGCTTTTTTAATTAGGGTCATGCTAGGGTGCTTCCAAATAATTGTTACCATGAGTGCACTCAAGCTTCGCACAAATATTACATATGATAATCATTTATGCGAAGTTTGGATACACACATGATATCAACCATTTGGGGACACTCTATCGTTTTCCTTTTAATTGAGGATGGAATTTGGAGCTTGTTTTCTAGACTTGAACCATGTGTTACAAAATAATTGGATGCAAGGTCTCTTATCCACGGGAGTATATAGTTTGAATTTTGACCTCAACAAGGCCAAACTGCAAAATCACTCGACCACTTGCAGTTGCACTGGGTCTCTGCTTCTGGGTTGGGGAGACCGGAAAAGAAAGGGAACATCGATCTCCTCATCTCATCTTTTCACCTAACCCGCACACTATATATTTCTTATATATGTACAGGAAGCCTACAAGATTGAAATTACAAGATCCAAGATTGACCCTTCCTCACATTCCTTCTCTTTTCGTCTCTTTTATTGCTGCGTGATCCGTTGATTTTCAGAGAAACGATCATGTCGGACGGTGGGTTGCTGATCCAGTGCAATTCCTTTGCCAAGGGACGTGAGAAGATCATCATCGACACAGACCCTGGAATTGGTGAGTTTAATTTCTTCCATTTGTGAGTTAGTTTAATTTATGCTGAAATGTTTTGTAGTTTGATTTAATTCCAGTGCTCTTATTTGATTTTCTACTGTTCTCGTTGTGGATTCAGGATTCTACACACTAAAATGCAGTATCTTCATAGTGTTTGGTTAAAAATGAAATCTCCTGGAAAAGCAAAAGCCAGATGCAAAAGTCTGATCATACCTTTGCTTTAAAAGCACTTTTGGATCACGTTTTGCTCATCTAAAGCCATAAACCATAAGCAAAACAAATTTACCCAGCACTCAAAATTGCATTAAGGCAAAGTAGATGCTCAAAATCTACTTTCAAACACATATTGAAACACCCTCATAGTATGGATTTGGGAATCCTATGATAACACATCGCGTTTGGTTACAAAAACTTTGCCTAGGAATATGGATTAGTATGGATTTGGGAATCCCAAGATCATACATAGTGTTCAGTTAAATTATGCCCAGACGCATTTATGCCTAAACCTCTCAAACTCATTTCCTAAAGGACCTAAAACCCTCCTTTGGTATTGAAGCCGGGAGATTATGCAACTACTGTAAGCTGATCGGACCAATCCCTACTTTTATTCCGGATACAAAAGAACCCGACTTAAACCCGTACGTTCTCAACCTCAGTCCTGATTCCAACCCATACCCGGAACAGCTTTCTAGTTATTTTGTAGTGTATCCGGCTACTTGGTTTCCCTGTACTCTTTTTATGTGTGGGGTTAGAGGAGTATTTCTGCCCAACAAATATGGTTTTCACATTTATTTGGTCCTTTAGGTTTGTGTCATTCCCTGGAAGTAAGTTATTTTATATGCAGTATGGAGTACTGTATATGCTATATACTTTCTTTGACCCACCCATGGAAAGAAAAGAAAACTTGAAGTCATTTTTCACAGATGTAAAAAAAAGGGTAATTAGTGCTTTCGAGAATTTTAATTAAGGACACCTTCCCAAGCAAATCCATACCTAATATATGTAGACCATTTAAGTTTCAGCTTCCTTAAGGCTCGTCCTTTTACGCATGTTAATACTGATCAGTTTTTTGTTATATCCAGATGATGCTATGGCAATTCTGATGGCATTCCAGACACCACATTTAGAGATATTAGGGTTGACAACAGTATTTGGTAATGTTTATACACAAGATGCTACACGGAATGCATTACTTCTGGTATGCCTTGTGATTTTATTATAGTGCGAATTGTTTGTCTTTCTAAAACATGTTCATGATCAAACATGAATTTTTTGTTGTACAAAAGCATAGTGTGAGATTGCAGGACATCCTGATGTTCCAGTTTCCGAGGGTAGCCATGAACCTCTGAAGGTAGTGATTCATTTTTCTTGCTATGCCTAATATTATTAACCATCCTCTAGATTTGTGTCTTCCTGCTTTGCTTGCTTAATCTCCCAGTGACGTTTAGATAGAAATCCATGGTTACTTGTATCAGAGTGAACTAAGTATCAATCTCATGCTTAGACTCTCTTGACGCTTGAAAGTGTAGATCACCTGACTTATGAATCTAATCATGTAAATGTTCTCTAGCATTTCTGCATATGCATGACACCAAATCTGGTTGCAGCGGTGGCTTTATTGGGCAAATGAACTTCATACTTTACTAACCACCCTCTTGCTTTGTTGGGAGCATAATGCTTTTGAAAATGGGTCAATGTGTACGCCTTGTGGTGCGGCACAAATCGAGGCACCATGTATAACATAGCATGTTGAAATGTCGGACAAAGAATACATGTGGGATTTTAATAGAATTCCAACATTTCAAAAAAAATTCAAGGTGTAGGACAAAATCATTAAAAAATGTAATAAAATCTTATTGATCTTACATGTAAGTTATATACTAATGCTAGTCTTATAGCCCGTGCGATGTACATTCGGCATGTAATATGCGGAAATAGAAGCTAAACGACATCGTATTGTGAATCGTGTGTACTTTTTGTTCAAAAGGTGAATGAAAAGTCTTTTGGCATGATGTCGCTTGTATGCTAATTGCTAAAGATGTCTCCATTTCACACTTTCACTTGATCTGTTTTTATGCAAAACCTACTGCAGATTGAAAGTTATTAACACATTGATCATCCTTATATTGAAATCATTTCGTACTTCATTTTATTAGATCATTTGAAGAGATTAGAAACCCTACTAACACACACAGACTTTGCCTTTTACTATTAATTACCGGATATGGTTGTTTAAATCATTTCAAAACGTCGAAAACAATAACCAAGATATTCATTCTTGTCTGTTTGCAGGGGGGAGGGCCACGCATTGCAGACTTTGTACATGGTGTAGATGGATTGGGAAACATTAATTTACCT